TTTCCGTAAAGAGGCCATGAAACACTTTGTAACTCAAATTGAAAGAATAGTTATAGGAAAACGAACTTTTTCTTTGGTTTTGTTTGTTTGTTTGTTTTCCTGGAAATGAATAATGCGTCCTGATGCAGTGTAACCCTACTTCAGAACATAAACAAATACCTCCACATGATCAAAAGAATTTACCCTGTGCAGAAGGTTTTACAAAAAAAAGCTGTTGCTTGTGTTTTAAACACCTGAAAACAGTAACTTTTTTTTCCTGTTGCTAGTAAAGTCAGTAATTTGCAGTTTTGTATGTTGCATTCAGTTGTGCATGTAATACATATTTCTTGCCACATTCCCATTTAAAGAGGGAATTGCCAGTGTTTTTATTCCTCTTCTTTTGTTCCCTAATGGCATGGAGATAAACGTTTTAAAAAGCTATCAAATCATCTTAGGAGTGCGAGAGAATGCTTTTACTCTAAGTCATCTTTTTTACTACAGAAGTCTTTTAGTGTATGTCAGTGGCATGCTTACGGATCAGGACATAGAAAATACGAACCCTGTGAACTCACCGAGTGCTGCTTAGTCCATTTTTTCTTTCTCCTCACAAAGAGGTAGGGCAGTAAGTGTTGCCGTGGTGGTTGAACGCTGCACTTGCTGTCTGCGTCTGGGTGACATACCAGATAGGAAAGAATACTTGAGCTTTGGTAGGACTGCAGGAAACATCCTGTGTCAGGGCTGTGGCCAGATGTAAGTGAAGTTATGTGGTCATGATCTGAGCAAGCCTCTGGCATTTCCTCTGTGGCCCATGTCCTATATTCCTTTTATACAATCAAGGAGTTGGAAATTAAAGCTAAAGGTCTAGAATTGTATGAAGCCAAGGGATTGACTGTTATTGATGGGCTGCTTACCTTTTTTCCAGAACTGTAACTTTTAATCATTGCCTTTTGCAGTTCCCAAAGGAAATTCTCTGTACTCCTGTTAGTAATTTTTGCACTAATCTTAACTATATCAGTATTTCAATTGTACATTATCAAACCATGCAGGCCAATTGTGTATTATGTAAAAAATTGCATATGCAACACACTTTCTGAAACCAGAGCCAAATGGGTAGGTGCCTCACTTGCTGGGAAGGGTGGTGTTAACAGCTGCGGTCTATCCAAGGGTGCGGTACTCATAGGGAGCCAGGCTGATATCACAGAGTGAAAACCAGCAGGTCAGTTTTAGTGTTGATCTAGTTGACGTTGAACTTGAAACTAAGAGAAGTTATGCTACATCTTTCAGAAGATGTTCCAGAGTCCTGATTTGAATATAACTTGTGGAAAATACTATCTGTGGAGTATGAGAAACAGAACTAAGCTATTGCATGAAAGAGATACATGATTATCACATTTTTTATAAACTTAATAGAAAAGAATTTCAGTACTAAAATTATTTCAACTTTTGTGATGTTAGGAAATCCTCTTGCTGGCCATTGCAAAGAGTACAAGTTATGGCCAAGGTCCAGGTTGCAAGGGTTTCCTTGCATTTGCAGGCAGGACCTCAGCATGAATGGGAGTTCAGTGCCAGAAGAGCACTGCTGTAGGGCAGAACTGCTCCCTTGTTGTCTAATCACTAGTATAAACCTGCATTGCTACAGGTATGGTAAGCAGGTGTGTTTCCTCTGTCAACTTGTTCCTAGGCGGAACAAGGACTTTCTAGCCAAATTTTTATAGACTGTGATTACCTGGTATGATTTTCTTCGTTGATTAGTTCTAGCTGTGGAGATGGAAAGGTTTTCTTCCTCACCAGTTTGTTTATAACCATCTATTTTTTTACCTTGACACCTCCTTTTAGGCTAAAAGCTTAAAATGTGTAGAGCAGTCCCAGGTCCCCAGAGGACTTGTTCATATTCTGTCATCCCTACTACCAGTCACTGAGTATGCTTCCTACCTGTTTTGGGGTGAGCAGAGCCCTCCTGCTCTGTGCTTGTATCAGCACGTTATGCGTTGGGGTCCTGGTCCATTGCCGTATTCCTAATGTTGCTAAGGATCTGTGCTGCACAGAGCTGGTGGGGTTTTTTTTATGAATGGAAGATGCTCAAGTGAGCCTGTTTGGTTGAATGTGTTGTTTTACATGGATTAAGCAAATTGATCTGCCTCTTAAAATCTGCTAAAATAGGATATTACTTTATGAATAACCCTTTGGTCTCTACCTTGCCTACCCAAGGTTGTGCAGTATCCTGCACTCTGACATTGCCAGATGCTCCCGTTGTCAACCTTCCACCATCTTAATTTGTGAACGACAAAGGCAAAATTTGCCACCTTGGTGGTGTGGAGGATTTCTGTAAGAAGAGTCCATTTATTCTTACTGAACAGGTGCTTGGTCTATCGCACTGTTAATCACTTGGTGCCTCCACAGGTTTTCCACATCTGGTTTATGAGGCTGGCTTCCTGTGTGGCAAAACACACCTACCAGCTGGTAATTGGCAAAAGGACCCAACCCTTGCAGTTCAGAAGGGGCAGTCCAGCAGGCAGTGGCTCTCTGGCACCTTTCCCTGGTGTGACTGGTTGGTGTTGGGGCCTGACTGCAAGGAGCCCTCTGCATTAGCAAGTCTTTGCTGTGTGCTGTTGCCAGGGTGCTATTGGCAGAGATTTGCATAGCATTTGCCACTATAAACTGCATGGGTGATGTCTCTTTCTAAGTATTTTAAAGAAATCTAGATGCCAAGACTTTGGAAGGAAATGCAGCTTGTCTGTGGGTATGTACCTTTACCGTGAGGGAAGGTGTCAGGCACGAAGTGGATGGTGCTGAGAAACTGCTTCTGTAATTATTGCCATTTTGATGCCAGCCTAGGAGTATGTTTTGATGACCTCTGCAGATATTAAATGAGATGTGTCCATTTTAATCATTGTAAGCTCTGTTCTCAGACCTTATTGAGTGGTGGACAACAGTAGCTGAACGAACAAATGCCTTCTTCATTTGTCCTTCTTTAATCCTTTCTCCACTAGATTTTCATTAATGTCAGTAAAAGTTTGTAATCTCTCCGGAGAGAGGATCTGTCCCAAAGGAGTGTTCTTGTCCCAGAGTTGTTTTCTGCATCTGCTTTAGGGGAATAGTGCTGGGGATTATTTTCTTTTGTCCTTGGGCTAGGCAGAGCAACGTGAGGAAGCCAAGGCTGGGGAACTCGTCCTGTCCCTGTCCTGCTGTGAAGCAGCAGTAGAGTCTTTCCGTAACTGCTCATTTATAGTGCCACGTCTGGCCCTCAGCACTGGTTCCGGGAAGAACCAAGTGACAGCTCCTGCTAATTGCCAGTAAAATATTTTCAGCCTTTAACTAGAGAATCACCCTCTGGATTGTTGACAAGCAAGAGAAAATATGTCTTTGTTCAACTCTTACATAGTAAATTAAAAAGAGCTAGCAGTGGTCTGAAGTATTAGCCTTTTAACCTTCCTATAATTAGTTTTCAGTCATATTCAGTTGTTTCTGTAATGGAAAACCAAGAGAAAAAATGAAGTGTAAAAGGATTTACAGCTTCAGGCTCTCTTTACCCTGCACAAAACAGGTTCTAACTCTTTTAGCTTAGCTATATATTTCAGACCTTCCAGATAATAGCTATTACTCATTGACTTATCTTCCACAAAGCTTGACTAGCCCTGTCTAGGGCCAGTTCTTCTAGTGCTTTTTCCATGCTATGCTTGACAGCCATTCAGAGGACAGGTCACTTGCCAGGATGTCCTGTTCCTCAGCTGCTTGTTTTGTAGGCTTCCTCAATTGCAACAGTCTTGAGTATTCATAGACTCTCAATAAAATTCCTCTGAGAATTGACTTGAAAGGTAATTTAAGGATGTGACTAGCCACATTTTATGTTGATTAAATTTTTTATGCTGTTATTAGTTTAATGACATTAAACAAAACAAGTTGATGCTTTACAGAAATAGCTTAGCTTTGGCAGAAACTGAGGGCTGTAATTTGTTGAGCTGAGACTTCACTAGATGACACAGTATTTTTATAGATGTCTTAGGAAGCTTATGAATATTTAAGGTTTGTTTATTTTCTGTCCTTGTGATACTGTGTTGTTTTCTTTTTTTCCCTAGATAAGCAACGTCTTGTTTTTTGTTTTACCACCCATATGTATGTGCTTGTTCCGTCAATATGCAACCTGCTTCAACAGTGGAATATATTTAATATGGACTCTACTGGTTGTGGTTGGTAAGTTGGTTAGTCTCTGTTTGCCTGCTCATGCATGAACTAAGAGAGGAAATCAGTTTTTCCTGCTTGCACTTGATTGTTCTGCAAAACAAAGCAATCCTGACCTCTGAGGAGGAGTTTGCTTGTACTTGCTTGAACCTGAAGCAGCCGTAGTTTCTGAAAGGAAAATGCCTTTTGCAATTTGAGGTTGGTGGGAACTTTGGTCTTAGTTCTGTTCCCTTCCTATCCTTCCTTTGCATAACTTCTTTTGTTTATGTCTGGGCTTACTCTACAGCAGTGCTGACCCTCCTTCCTCTGCTGTTGCTGAAATGAGAGCTGGAAGTTCCCAGCACAGCTGAAGAGAATAACACGTTTTGCATTGTAGTGAGAAGGCCAAAAGGCTTAGCAATTTTGTGGATACAAGATTCTTAAGCTTTTTCTTTCCTGGAGGCACTGGGAACTTTTAAAGGGATAATCAGAGCCCTGTGGGGCAGTGTGACACTTTCCACCTGTAAACCTGTATCATGGAGTAGTCATCAGATGCTGTTTTCATCTGTCTTACCCATTCCTGTGCTATTGAGAAAATTCAGGAGCAGCATTTGGCTTTTATTTCTTAATTGGTTTTGCTTTTAACTTTACCACCGGATGTTTTTTCACATAAATCTACTTTTCTAGTAGGAGCTGGCATCTTTAGCTACTGCTTCTGTAATGTGTTTGCTTTGTAGTTAATGAGGTGCTGATGATTTGGATTGCCTTCTTAGGAAAGTTGGCATTTGTTTTCCCAGTTGTGTGGTTTTGTTTTTTTTTACCCTTTTCTAGATCAAATAGTATCCACCACTTGCTATGAAGTTCTGAACATGAGCAGTGTGTTTCTGTCTATACAATACTGCCACTATTCATATTGCCTTTTGATTGATTCCAGGAATTGGGTCTGTGTACTTTCACGCCACCCTCAGTTTCCTGGGCCAGATGCTGGATGAGCTGGCCATTCTCTGGGTCCTGATGTGTGCTCTTGCCATGTGGTTCCCTAGGAGATACCTGCCCAGAGTTTTCCGGAATGACAGGTAGTCATACAGTTACAGATGTACACTTTCATTTTTCTCGAAACGTCTTCTGCTAACACTTAAACCTGCACATAATGGCACTGAGTGATCCAACCTTACCACTGCGTGGCTATCTTTTCTCACTGCATTCTCTTGCTGTTGATTGTATCTCAGCCCATTTTGTTCAGAATTCCTGAGCTGTAATTGCTGACGGTGGGGTTTATGTCCTGTAACTTCAGATGTTGGGATGAGGTGACTTGCCTCTGGAAGTGCCTGTTCTTGTTGATTCTAGTGAGACCTTTACATGAATAGTTCATAAAAGTTGCAGCTAAAATAAAGTAAGAGAAACCCTCTTTACTCTTCCTTTTGTACAACCTAAAGTGTGAATATTTAAGGCAGTGGTTAAGGATGGTGTTTAAGTATTCAAAGGCTAAATGTTTGTTTGGAAATCTGTTGTAAAAGGATTTTTTTCTTTTGCTTGTAGGATTAGGATTAAAAAAAGTGTGTTGTAGCCAGTTTAAAGAATCTGGTTGTGGTTTGTCCTCCCCTAAGAAACCTGTGCTATAATGTGTGAATTTAGTACTTCTGCATATTGCAACACAGTGCTATTACAGAACACCAGAAGCTTAACAAGCAAACAGGTTTTACTGGGGTGTTTTAGTTGATGGCATGACTTTTAGACATTTAGTTCAAGTAAAGAAGAGTTCAGAGTCTTAAAGAATTTCTGTGACTGCATGTAAATTATTCCTCAGAAGCCAAAGGGGATGGTTATATGTCATTTATCAATATCTTCCGATGGTGTGCTGGGTAGGTTCATAGTATGGGCCAAGAGGTTAAACTGTGTCCTTTTAAAAAGAAATAGTAACATTTCTGGGGTGAAATCCTGTTCTACTGAACTTGGTGTTAAAACTATAAATAGTAAGCTCCCAGGTTATAACTGATTCATAAAAATACGGAGGTCAGGTGAAGGATGTCCCCTATCCTGAACTTCTCAGGACACTTATTGAGAATCTGTCAAGGAAGTTACATGTTAAGGTCTTGATTTCTTTCTGAAGCATGCAGAAGACAGACATACTGGGCAACAAACCCTAACCCTGAACAGGTTTGGTTTATGGTTTTGGTGGTGTGGTTTGTTTTGTTTGTTTTTTTGTTTTTTTTTTTTTTTTGCTTTGCCTCGCTAATCCTCTGATATTATATCTACCCTGTGCTCACTGCTGTGATCTTACATTCTTCATCCTCATCACACTCTGGATTTTCAATGCTGCAAATGTTATTATCTACCATGACCAGTTTGTGGTGTCTTTAGTGTTTAAGGCATTCACACCAGATCAGAACTTCTTACTTAACTAAGTTGTTGCCTTCCAGCAGAAAGAAAAACTTGAAAGCAAAAGGCAGATGGAATGAGCTAGGTGAAGGTGATAACACTTGTGGCCAGGGAGTGGTGCTGCACAAGTATACCGAGACCCTGCTTCAGACATAGAATTAAGGACAGAAGAGCCATCCTTGGACAGCAACTAGTTTTATAAAGCTATGGGCCAGTAGTTAAAGGGCAGCATGATGATCCTCTGTCTGACATAGTCCTGCCACAGACTGGAAATGTGTTGTTTAAAGTCCAAACTTGAAGTTTAAACAACAGTTAACATATGTTTAATTTAAAAGTTGCCAGACTATCTATATAGGGCCCAATTGTGATTTCATTTATGCTGAGAATATACCAAACTGTAATCTTCATAAGTGTGGGAATCCCTCACCTGCTGTTGACTTTGGTTAAAAGAAATGTTCTTACTTACCTTGTTGTTTTCAATATCTTTAAGGCTTAAAAAAGATAAAGGAAAATAAAACATGACTCTAGAAGTTGGCGCATTAACGGTAACAGACTATCCTAAAAATCCATGTTAAATGCATGAAGAATGATGACACAACACTGCTTTGAGGAAGTGTAGTGCTGTGTGCAGAGATGGACTTGTTCCTGACTTACTGTGGGAGGAGGAAGATCGGAGTGTGGCCTTTGGATTTTGAAACCAGTGATTAGTGTGTGTGCATGTATATGTATACATCCACATGGCTGCTTCAGAAGACCACAGTCCAGCAAAGATCTGTGTATATGATTAATTCTGCATGCACATGCAAATCTGCGCAAGACCCACATCCCGTTTATGCACATTGTCATTGCACCTCCTGAACACACCTAGAGAAACCTAAATTTTGTTACATTATTAAAATAATTTTAAGATTTCTGGGTTTAGTAATTAAAAGTTTTGAATTAAAAGCGTTGTTTCTTCCCCCCAAAAAACCTATTCAGGAGCCGATTTAAAGCTGCCGTGGGTGTCTTGTCTGGAGTTACTACCTGCCTCGCCTTCATTAAGCCTGCCATCAACAACATCTCACTGATGACTCTGGGTGTTCCCTGCACAGCTTTGCTTATTGCTGAGTTGAAGAGGTGAGTACCTTTCTCCTGAATGCAGTGTTGCCTTCTGAGATCCTTAGGCCACCGTCTGGGGATACACTAGATCTGACTTAAGTGCTTGTGATAGCAGATCAGAAATGCTTCTCCCACGTGCAAGTGCAGATCTGGTATAAACATGCTCTGCCAGTTCAGACATTTTTTGGCAAGGATTGGTTTGTGGTTTTTTTTTCCTAGACCATTAGACTAGGTCAGATATTGTCTGTCTTCTTGCAAGACATCTCTTGCTGCAACCTGATCTAACTCAAATTTTTTTGTTTAATGTGGAATCAGGGCAGGGGTTTTGCCCTACTGACAGTGTTTCTGCTGTATAGTCTGCATAAGGGTGAGGTGATCGCGTGATTACAGTCTGGGCACTAGAGGGAATGTGGAGCAAGGCCCAGGCATGTGTGGAAGATGTTCTAGCTCTCAAAGCTGTACTGTGATTCTTACACCACTTTGTCTTCTGACGTGGATAATATGATGGAGTCAGACTGACAAAGATAAGGTTAATTGCTAGGTTGTAGAGGACGGCTATCAGTCAGGGCCTTAGAAACTATAAAACCACAGTACAAATAGAGAAGAACCTGAGACTGATCTTAACATTTTAGAGTCCTACTGTGACAGTGATACTAGCAGCTGTCCAGAGACTTTTTTTTTGGTCTCTCTTCACCCCCTGCAAAAAGGACCACATGAGTACCAGCATACAAACTTGTCCTTTCTCCCTCTTCTCCAGTGTCTGAGAAGGATTTTACAACTTATGTTGCCTCTTGCATATCTTATATGTAAATGTCCATCGAAAGAAACAAGAGTAGGACGAAATGCCTGCATTCTGACTGTTCCTGTTAGAACAGAGATTCTCCTGTTTGCTACCTTACTGTATTCTGCCACTGCTTCTCCATACAGTGGAAGCCCCTGCTAACAATGTTTCTAAAGGTGTTCATGAGTCTTTTTTCATTAGATGTCCTGCTACACAGCATTTATTGCTATGGTCAAAGAAACTCAGGAAACAGTGCACAAGTTAGTTGTAGACAAGAAGGTCATTAGTTGAAGAATGTTGGTGGAGGTGTCTCATTTTGATGAAAGCACCAAGGAACTACTGACAGGGAAAATGGAGATCTGGTTGTGGCACTGAATAATTTATGTGAACTGTCAATGTATCAGTTTTCCAGGCATGAGCTCCTGAGAAACTTAGAAGGATGAATAGTTAGTGTCTCCTAAGTTTGAATACTGTTGCATCAAATCTAGGAATTGGTATGCTTGCAAATGTTTGATTTTTAAAACATCTTCTGAAAGGTCATATCTTACTGAAAAGTTTGGTGTTTTCCTGTCCGGTTTTTGAGAGAGAATTAAGAACATAGATAAACCTTCTTTTGAATTGATGATTAAAAAAAGACCTAAGGTGACATATGGCCCTCTTAATTGTGCATTGGGATCATGTAATAACTATGATATTTTTTGATGAATTCATAACTGTAAAAGGCAAATAATGAAAGGTTTTATTTTAAGCTATCCTGATCCCTAGGAGATTTAAATAAGATACATTCTTGTAAACCCAGAGGAGAGGAGTCATCTCATTCCTTTTTATAGGAGAAAAAATAGTCTAAGCATTATTTAAAATGTCTGTAATTCTCCCATTCTCTACTACCACAGTCAGTAGGGGGTTACACATCCAGGTCCTGGCAGTCTGCAGTGGAAATTTATCTGCAAAACTGGTATTTGGGGAAGGAAGGAGAAGAGCCTCCAGACTAGTTTCTTCTGTTCCATGCTGAAGTTTGTGATGTGTTAGATCAAAACTCCCTGTTGTTAATTCCTGTTCTAGACTGGTTCTATTAATGTTCTGCCTTTCATTTGCCCTTGATGGGGAAATAATGTTGTCACAGAAAGACATTATGTTCTTAAATGTGGAGCTGGTAGGGTAGAGTGTATGCTAGGAAGTATTGTGAGTGGGAGATGATCAAAAGAGCAAAAGGTAGTTAAATGCATACTTGGCCTTGAAAGACAAAGAAATTCCAAAACTTTGTTCTCATTTCTGTCCAAACAAATCCCTTCATGTGTTTCATAAACAAAATAAAAAAAGCAGTCTCTCCTTGGGGATGGTATCAGGAAGAAAATGGATATGGTTCCTTTGATTTGCTGGTCCAAGCCAAATAACCATTGAGATTGTAGTGTCTTCAAATTGGTATGATTTAATGAGTCATCATCAGGCAATGTAACTGTCTCCATGTGCAGAGAGATGCTAGAATATTATTGCTCAGCTGACATCTGAGCCTTGGGCAGTGAAGGTTTACCCTAGCTTCAGATCTGTCCATTCATATTTGATTCTCCTACTAGAAGTCTGGCTGTGGGGGAGCCCTGCTTCATTGTCGCTGGTTGCTCACAGTTCCCTTATTCCCTTGACTAAAAGGTTAAGCTAGTTAAAGGTTTAAAATATTCCTTAGGATATAAAGCGAGATACCTGTGTCACAATGAATCAGGCAGTTAATCAACATCCAGCAACTTGCACTGGTTTGAAGAAAAGCTGGTATGTTTTGTTGGGGTTCCCATGACATTGGAAGATAAAGCTGCTGGAAGTGTGTATGAGCCCAGTCCCTCGGATAGCAAATGGCTGTGACACGCCAGTGTTTGCAGAAACTCTGGCATTTAAGTAACTGCTGTGTGTGTTAAACTGAGAGCACTGTGCATTGTATAGGCGAAAGGTGCAAATGGAAATGCAAGGTTTGTGGGGTCCAGTTTCTCTCAGATTAGAGTAGGAGTATGTGCTTGGGTTAAACCATGACAGCGTATGTCACAGATCTGTGCACAGCAGCATGAGCAGCTCTTTTAGACCTTCAGCTGACAGGTTCTATTTCAGTGGCAGTTTGAATGATCTGTGCCCGTGTCTATTGAGAAATAAAAGAAATGGGTTGGGTCCATGTCTCTTGCCAGTGTCAAGGTGATATTTGCATTACATCTCCTCATTGTGGTAAAAGCAGTGGCAGGTAGGAAGCTTTGCAGTTCCCTGTCTTCTCGGCAAGTGTGTCCTCAGCTCATTCAAAGCACAGTCACTGCAGGAACTGAAGACTCTGTGATGGGTGATCACAGAAAACCCAGGAGTATTGTGTGCTCTGCTCATTATGTTTGACTTTTTCTACCTTAGAGTAGTCTTTTGCATTACACCCTGCAGCATCTAGTCTTAAGTTCATAAAAATAAATTGCAGTACCTGATGGTGGTATTGAGCAAACCTGTCATTACAATCTATACCATTGCTATGGCTGATCTTGCGTTGAGAGTTTCTTCCAGTAAGCTTCCAGTTTTCCTTCGCAGCCTTGAACTGCTTGAACTGTGCAGGTTAACTGTCCTCTTCTCTTGGTATTCAAACTAGTCAGATATTGACAGGCATGGTCACTGACTAAAGGACCTGGGTGCTTGAGGCCAAACCTCATATCTTAAATGGGATGCAGTTGCACATGTTTGTTTATGTCCATCAGACAGGTCCGGGAAAGCCTCCATGTTCTCAATACACACACATTTTCCTCTGTCAGAATGCACAAGTACCCATCACAGCAGTCTATTTTTGTCTGTCTAATGAACAAAATTGATCCATGCAGGTATCTGCTTAGGTACATGGTTTGCCCTTAACAAACAGTTGTGCGTCTCACTGAAGACTGTAAATCTGCCGTGGCATTAATGGGAGAGAATTAAGCCTGCAATGCTTAATACAGTGGTGTTTTTTGACCAATAACGATTTTCCCTCTTTTTTTTTATGAAGAGATCCTTGCTGTCTAGCCATTTGGTAG